AATCTGCATAAGTAGGAGCATATCAACTTTTTAGATAAAACAATTTACCATCAAGAAAATCGGGAAGAAAACCCAACATATCAATATCCGGCACACTGTCTAACACAGTGATCCATCCTACCAGAAATTGGCGGACGTAAGGATTCAGGACATTCATGCGCTCTCTTAACAATGGTATAAATTCTTCAATGCTGCAGAACAAATTTGAAACAAGAAACCTTTACATAAACTATTCGCTGACCACTTACTTTAAAGTTCTAAATTCTGGTCCCCCAGTAAGCAGATGACAGTTTGAACTAGAACAAGAAGATAACGCACCTGAACTGATCACTATCTGTGACAATGTCCTGTTTTGCACAGCAGTTAAAACGTATTGTTAATACTTGACATTCACGTGAATAAAGATACAATAGGAACAAGCCTAGATGAGTGGAGCAAATTTAATTGTTCACCTTTACAAGTCTGTCTAAAAGATGTGCAGCACTCTGTACATTGGGATCTGAATCTGCTGAGAGCTTACAGAGAGCATCAAAGATTTGATTAAAGAAAACGATAAAATCTCCTCGCACAACCTGCAAATAAGCAAGAGATCAAATTCTTATGCATATAGGGAAACAAGTCTTATTATACAAGTCCACAATTTGTCCTCACCTTTGCAATGTTATACAGAGCCTCACAAGCATAATAGCGGACTCTGCCATCTAGGTCAGAAAAAGAATTTAGCACTGGTGGTACTATTTGCTGGCAGAATCCATCAAAGGAAGGGTGAGAAAAGGAAATAAGAAAAGAAAAAGAAATGGTAGAATACAATATAACACCATAACAAGTTAAAAAAGAGGAAACTCTTCAGCAAACCATAAATTTCAAAATACACTACAGCAAAATTCAAGATCCTGAAATGTGCAATTGATAATCCTATCCCTAAGTAAATGGTTTAGCACCTTTTTGAAGTATGCAATGATCTAACGAACATTAAATGGCATAAGAATTATCAAAACGACTTTAGCAACAAGAAACAAAAACTCATTATAAACAAACTATTAGATGGCTGTGCATTCACTCACCTTGTTATTACCAAAATAATGTCAGTCACAAGCTTTACAAGATCATCAAAAACTTATGAAGTTTAGTATAAAATTTGAAGATACTTTCAATCCTCCATTTCACCAAAAGATAATAACAAATACATCAACTAGAGGTGATTAATGAACCAAGATTTAAATGTTTCTGACAATAGGATCAACTGACCAACTCTGGCCCCCACAAGATCAGATGGCTACGATAGTTAAGCTTGCATGACCAGTGACATAAGGAGTAGTGCAGATTTATGATGAGATATTGCTGAAAGCCATATCTTATGTAAGTTTTCAGTAGTAGAACAGGAGTATAAAATTAATTGACGTTGACATTGAAAAGTTTGGTACATATAGGAAGAAAACTTAAGGTTCAATTGTCTTCTCCTTTATTACGTCTCTCGTCTATCTGGGGTAGCAATTTTTGTAACAACTCACTAACAGGAATCCAATACAACAATAAAGGATTTAAGAATTATCCTTAGATCATTTATGGGTCACAACTATGGAGCAATACATTATACTTGTTTCTTTTATTTGTCTCAACTTTAAGAGCCAACTCAAAACTGTTCCACCTGTGTTGAGTCACCATCAATGACCCAAACCCGTTCAAACTGTTGACAAAAGTGGCATTTTCTAATATGTGAGCTAAATAAGGGAATAAAATAGTTGGCGGAAACTAAAGAAATCCTGACGACTAGAGTTTGAACAGCATGCTTCAGGTCTAGCAACCAAGACTGCTGTACTCTTTCTCTCACTATTCATTAGATTCAAGGATCTATTTCCTTAGAATGCTCTCAATATTCCCAATATGCAATCTAAATTCAAAGACAACAAAAATGAATGGCCTTCTCTTCTCTAACATTATTCGATTTGCAGATTCTGTATGTCCCATTCAGATACAAATTGTTTTCTATTTTTCTCAACACTATTCTCAATTTTTATATCTATGTTGTGTTTTTCTCTTACTTCAAATGGATCAAAGCCAATATTTTTGCATAGTCGATTTTAGTAAGCTCTAATTGTAAAAAATGCAGTAGGGAAATGATTGTAGTTGCTGGATCTCTCTCTCTCTCTCTCTCTCTCTCTCTCTCTATGTTTTCCCCCTTCTTTCAATTAGTTGAGATTCAGAATCTGAAATTTCACCTCTACCATTAGTGGGTTAGCTAGAGCATTTATAAAGCGACCCAAATAGGCATCACTCACTGGTATCTTAGCAGCTTATGCTGTTGCATTTAGAGAAATTTCTCTTGGATCATCAAACCATCACCCATTAATACAACATTATTTGATTCCAAATTTAGAGCAACGCCTATGGTACCCTTTCCAAATTCTATTAATTCACCCTCCATTACTTCATCAAGACCATGAATACGGGCAACTCCATCACCTACTTAAAGTAAGGTACCAATATGTACAATCTTTAAATGTTTAGCAGTAAGGAACCAAAGAAAAGAAGAATACTTCATGTATCATAAATTAATGTTTTCTCCATGTTCATGTCAAGTCTTGAAAATATGGCAGCATTGATCTAGTACTATGTGATATTTTTATTATATCCTCTGTTAAGATATGGAAATCGGCGCTAAAGTTTGCAACATCATTGAGGCATCAGGAAATCAAGTTATAAATTAACACATTACTAAAAGTTGGTATTTGCATGAGGCTAGCAGTTCTGCCACTCAATGAGGCAATCTTACTGACCCAACCCGAGCAACCTATTCATTATACAGGGTACATAATCACAATGCGTCACCCATACTATAATGCAATGTTAAAGTTCAAGATACTGAAAACAATGAATTATGTTCATGTTGGTATATAAACCAACTCTCTCGTAACATCATGAAATTAACCCAAGACTACCGGGGTTGATTTATCAATTCACTCTCTCCCTCAAAAAGAGGAAACCTCTTTTTTTTACACTCTTTATACTAATTATATCTTTCTATAAATTGCAAAAAACAAACTGTTTACTTCCTTATTTTCTGCCCTTTTTCCAATTTTCTATCTGAGCACTTAATACACAAAATCAATTACACACACCAATATTCCTTCAAATAGGAGAGCAAGTAAAATTTTATGAGTCCATTATGATCATTCATGGATTTCACTGTTGCTTTGCTTATAATTACGATTTGGGCGTCTAATTAGCATGTAGTACTCACCATTTCCATGTGAATTATTATCCAAAATTTAAACTTCAAAACTCCGCCAACCCAAAAAAAGTCTCATATTTTGCATTTGATCCTATCAGTCATAAAGCTCTATTACCTCAAGATGCTGAGCTGCTTCTGAAGTCAACCCAACGGTAGCCGCAGCCAATCCTATCAATCCTCCCTATCCAAAGTCGCAGAAAAAAAATCACAATCCAATATCTCAACACAACAAAAAGCACCACCAAAATCACCACATTCATACTATACATAACATCAAAAGCGCCCTTGTTGTCTCTCACCTTCCGGTGATTGGCCTGCGGTGAAAACGTGAACTCGTTAGTTAGCAAATTGATCACCGCCGTAATCTTATCATGATCTCCGGCCACCGTCAGTTGCTTCACAATATTCTCAACCTATATACATAACAATCCCCAAAATCAAGATCCAAACAAAAGAAATATCCCTACAAAACAAAGCAAAATTCAAAATTGAACAATTAGAGATGGAGAAAGAGAGTGACCTCGAGAGCAGCATTTTTCCTCTTCTCATAAAGCTTATCGGAGAGATTTCGCACAACGGAAGCTGGAATCACAGAAAGCCCGTCGGCCATAGGGAAAGCAACAACCATAGAATTCTCTTTCCGTCAATTTTCCCCCCAAACAATCAAAGAAGCCTGCGTTTTCTGATCTTCTCTTTCACAAATCGAAACATATTCACCACTATTATATATAGATATGGAAACAGATAAGAGAAATATATAAAAGGAAAATTAATTCCCTTTGCAAATTTTCGAATCGACAAGTTCGAAGAGAATCGGTACAGGTACAGATCTAACTGGAATAGGAAAAATTAAGAGAATCGAGTGAAATTGCTTGATAGGAACCGAAATTCTCAAGGGAAAATGGAAAGATTTTATTCGTTCTGTTTGTTTTTCTCTCTTTGGGAGTGTTTGGCTATTGGTTAAGCCGCCGCGATGCGTATAACGATCAGATGGCCCTCGGCCACCCTGTCTGTCAGTTCCTGTGCTTGTGCCCGTAATCTTTGGTTTGGGGGAGATGATTACAGAGATTGTCCACTGTGGTGTTCACACGAAACGACGTAAATAACCCATTTTGCATTCGTATTTACTGTTTAGGAGAATTATAAGCATGAAATTTATCACTTAATTACTCAAATCCCTTAATATTTAAAATATTACACATAAATTTTTTAAAATTTATGCGCATATAATACTTAGATCCCTATTATAAATATATATATTAATAAATTATACTTAAACTCCCCTAAAGTTTGTATGTATATAATATTTAAAATTTTTAAGTTTAAAATATTATACTTAGACCAAAAAATACTCCAATCAAATATCAAATATTTTAAATTTTATAACTAAAATTCATGTTATATTGTATTATTTATTGAAATAAATTAAAAATAAAAATTTAATTTTTTTTAAAAAAAATCGTAATTAGTATACAATTATAATATCTATTGTAATAAAACTAAAAAATCAAATAATGGGTCTATGTCATTCATAATAGAAGATGAATTTTACATTCAAAATTCATGTTCTATTATGTCATTTATTGAAATAAATTAAAAATAAAAATTTATTTTTTTAAAAAAAAACATAGTATATATTTATACTGTCTATTATAATAAAACTAAAAAAATTAAACAAGGAATCAAACTGTAATTGACACAATATCTTTTAGATTTAATTGAGATAATTTGGTATTTTAATTTAGTCGTTTAAACGACTAAATTAAATTTTAATAGACAATATAATTATATATTAATTATAATTTTTTTAAAAAATTAAATTTTTATTTTTGATTTTATTTCAATAAATGATACAATAGAACATGAATTTTGGTTGTAAAATTTAAAATCTTTTATATTTGATTGGAGTATTTTTTGTCTAAATATAATATTTTAAACTTAAAGAGTTTAAGTATTATATACTCACAAATTTCAAAGAGTTTAAGTGTAATTTATTAACTAATATATTTATAACAAGGGTCTAAGTGTTATGCACATACAAATTTTAGAAGTTTATATATAATATTTTAAATATCAGGGGTCTAAGTGTTTAAGTTACAAATCTCAAGGGATCTGAATGTGATTCTCAAAAATTTATGTTATACCCAATTTTCCATATGTTTTTATTTTGTTATTGTTTCCTTTATTTTCCATATTTCTATTTTGGGCATACTTCAATTCACCGCTCCCGATATCCAATAAACATATAATATTCCTAACATTTAACCACATTCACATAACCCACACATAGTTTGTCAAGTAAGCTGCTGTCACATGGATTAAATTACACTCGAATTCTTTCCTTATGATGGCACTGAAATCCTATACTTAATGCCAGTCAAAAACACATCATACACTCACTGAAACAATATATCAAATAGGTAATGAGCAAGAATCAAACACACAACAAACAAACAAGATTACAGACCAAAATGACTCAACCATTTACTTATCACGTACAAGGGATTTTCGACTAAGGATCTGCTTACAAAATGTGCTAAAACTCTAGTGGGTTACCGGAGACTCTAACAATATGCATGTAAAGCTATACATGACGATTATTGGCCTCCCTAACTGCTAGGTTTACTAGCACCCATCAGATACGCCTTCGAGTTCGAGGACTATGGGGTGGTCTGCCAAACCCCCATAATCTGCTGAACATGTCTGGATCAGTTGTGCTTCATAATCACCACCTGACTCAGTGAACAACTACTCGTAACAACCCTATATGATGTGCACATATCAGCATCTGTTAGAACTGTCCCACCGGATGTGCACATGCCATCAGCTACTCATAAACGCTTCTCATAATGCGCACATGTCATCAATATCAACCTACGACACCTAATTTCCCTTGCCAGCATGTCAAGCCCTTCTCAACCCATAACTTGGTCTTCTAAGCTTGCAATACACCACAATTGGAGCACACATGGCTACGCCTTAATAGCTTGCTTGTGCCCACGTGCCCATGCATGTATTGTCTCCCTCAGCCATGAATAGAGTCTCCACTAATGATAGGTCCCACCAATCATCATCCCCTCATATCTTGGGTCTCAAACTTTTGCATGCTTTAGGGGGCACAAGGGTTATTAGTCAAGCACCCCTTCGCAGAGCACCCCCTTTATAATAGCATTAGGAACAATTTCCCTAGTGGCAACGACAGACATCATCTGAATCAAGAAGTCATAATGACGAAAGCCAGGGGCATAATACTTGCATATCACCTAGAACTTTTGTCGAACACCATAGCTACCAATCCAAATATACGACTAAGTCCTTAGGAAACCATCTTATATAAAGGGAGTACTTAGCCAAGCACACCCTCACCTTGGCTAAAGCATGAGGCATCATTGAGCGAGGCACCCACATGTCATAGATGTGCCAACGAGCTAAAGGCATAACAAACCACCCCCACAAGACGAACTCGACATGCTCTTCGAGAAGTTGTCTTAATACTCCTTGATTTATTTTTCAAACTATCAAAGAATAACATCTCTTTAACAACTTGTTTCTGCCTCGATGTTACCTTTTCAATGCTACCTTTTCAATGAATAAGAAAATCAGACATGTGTTTCTTATTACTTTGACACATGGTCCTGTGAGATGGACTATTCTTGACCTCCCTATTAATTTGTTTCCTGATCATCAATGGAGCCCTCCTGGCTTGTCTCTAACCAGCATCCAACAAATCTTCATGATAAGGCTTGTCTAAGTGATCTTCCAATGACTCACTATAAACTACAATGACATCTAAGTAAATGACCACAAACGCATCAATGTAATCATAAAAGACATTATTCATTAAATTGCAAAAAATAGCCAAGGCATTTGTGAGTCCAAATAGCATTACAAGACATTCAAAGGAACCACAATGAGTTACACAAGTAGTTTTAGATTCATCTCATTCTGCAATTCTAATTACTTGCCAATACACAATCCTCAAGTCCAGCTTTGTGTAGAAAGTTGCTTTGGAGAGTCTATTGAATAGATTAACAACAATCAAAACATAGTACTTTTTCTTGATAGTCACTTTGTTTAGAGCTCGATAGTCAATACACATCCTCAGTGAAACATCGTGTTTCTTTTGGAACAATACTAGGGGCTCTGAATGGCGCCTTAGAGGGTTTCATGTTGCCAAAATCTAACAACTTGTTTAATTGATTCCTCAATTTTGCCAACTCCATGGGTGACATCCCTCAACCCTCATAAACGAAAATCCCTATGAAGGTGGAATTCCATCTCAAGTCTTTAATAAGATTAATTAAGAGACTTCACTAGTTAGGCTACATAAGACCACTCTTGAGTAACCACATTAATTAAGGTATGTACCTCGAGGTTTTGTTTCAAGTAGATTTATTAGTCTTTAATTGACTTTATGGACCTGTCCGTCGATTTTAGTCTCCAAATTTTAAATCTCTTAAAAAACCATTTGAAACCAAAATTTTCAGATGTATGGATTGAAGATGAATAATAAAAGATCACAAAACTATTTGTGCGCCAAGAGGTGGGGGAGACCAATGAAATTTCAATAACACAATGATAGTTCTCAACGGTTACGAATGCAAGGTCCAAGTTAAATCAAATGCAAATCAAGGAAAGAAAAGGAAGAAGAATAATTATATCTATAGTATTTGTATCCCCATACAATTATATACACACCTACCCAATGAACTAAAATACTTGCATTCTTTACATTAACACCAAAGAACTGAACTTTTGAATGTATGAATGAGCCCCTACCCTTTTAAAAAATGCCTGATTAGTTTGCTAAACCTCAACAAACATACATGCAATTTGGTTGACCATCTCATCTAGAAACCTGGTCTAGACAAAATAAAAGTATTTCAAAGGCTAGCTAATGACAAAATACCTTCTCTTCAATTGAAAAGCGATTATGTCCACAGTCTTTACTTTTATCACAATGGGCTTGTGAGTTGTGCCTCCTAGCACCTAAGCACTTGAAAAAAGAAGGAAAAAAATATGAGTTCCTAAGAATGAGTAAAGAAGATTTTGAGCCCCAACGACAAACGGACCTGCGGCCAGATTATTTTCGGGGAGTAGCTTTCATTAGAAAAGAAACGAAATAATATCAATTTTATGACAAATCTGATTCGATTGCTTTTCCCCACTAACCACGAGGATATAGGGACTCCATCATAAACTCATATGGCAATTTTTTTTTTCTTTTGGGTTTTTTTTTCTCAATTGCTTATTTAAAGAGAATGTCTAAAAGGCTTGCACCTATCACATCAACACCATAAGACTCGACTTTTTCTTCCCTTATTTGCATCTGTTAGCTTGCATTTTCCTAGAATCAGCCATTCAAACTGGACAGAAAAAAATGTCAACAACATGCAAAATAGTTTAATTGCTAGGTCCAATGTATCAAGAGTTCTTTTTCTGCATTATCTATTTCTCTTGTTAGGTGGAAAAAGACATGTGCCCACTTCATCTTTTTCTCTGTCCTGCTTGTTTCCAATTGAACAAGTTTGAACTGACCTCTATTTTATTCTTTTAGGTTGGAGGGAACTCGAATACAATATATTTTTTTTTCTAAAAAAAAATAAAAATTCCCCACAGCAATTATCTTATTAACATTTGGTGACGATATTGTTAAGTACTTTTTTTTGGTTTTTTTTTTGTTAATTTTTATTTTAAGTATTTTTTGTAAGTCACCTTTGATTTTACTTTTTTATTATTAGGACTTACTCCCTTTCTCTAACATTAATAACATATCTAATAAGTATATCGTTTGTATACTAAAATGCATGTAGATCATTTTGT